TATAAATACTGTTTTGATGGGTCCTGCCAAACTAGGGCCTGGGCTTTGTAGCTCAAGATGGGAACAGCCGGGCTTGAGCAAAGGGTTTAAGTGCGGTTATTAATAGAGGGGAGGGGGGAGAGAGCGGCAGGCCGGCCCTGGGGTTGTGCTCGCTCCCTCTGGGCCCTGCTCACTCCTCTCATCTTTCTTCTAGGAACTCCACCTCCGACACTGCCCCCCTAGAGCCTGAGCAGCTCAGAGTGTTTGAGACCTTGGAGGAGATCACAGGTGAGCTCCGCCCCTGCGTCCTGCTCGGAAGGGGCTGGGGGCGCCATCCTGTCCCCGCACCCTAGCCTCCCCCTGTGCCTGCAGGTTACCTGTACATCTCGGCGTGGCCAGACAGCATGCCTGACCTCAGTGTCTTCCAGAACCTGCAAGTGATCCGGGGACGCGTTCTATATGAGTGAGCACCTGGAGGAGGGGGCCGGAGGGGGGGCTGGGAGACGCGTGGGCATGTGGGGCGTCCTGCTCCCCAGGGGCTCCGGTGGCAGCCTCTCTATGGGGACAGCAGGTGAGGGCAGCCCTTGCTGATGGGGGAGGGGCCAGTGATGGCTGCCCACCCCGCAGCTGACACTCCTCTCCCACAGCGGCGCCTACTCGCTGACCCTGCAAGGACTGGGCATCCGATGGCTGGGGCTGCGCTCGCTGCGGGAACTGGGCAGTGGGCTGGCCCTCATCCACCGCAACGCCCACCTCTGCTTTGTCCACACGGTGCCCTGGGACCAGCTCTTCCGGAACCCTCACCAGGCCCTGCTCCACAGTGCCAACCGGCCGGAGGATGAGTGTGGTAAGACAGGGAGCCCAGCGCTGCCCGCTCCCCGTCTGCCAGCACACAGTGCCCGTGCCCTCCCAGCAGCAACCTGGGACTCGTGCAGACTGCCCACCCCCGGGGCGCCACCCTTGACACAGCTCTGGCCGGCTTGACCCCTTGGCATGGCTTCTAGCTGAGTCCTGCCTCACTGCCTCGGCATCCCCCTGCCCCCTCCCCCCTTCCCTCTCTCTTCCTGGGACCTCAGAACTCTTCTCTCTCCCTGCATTGCCCAGGCCCTATTCCCACCCAGAGCCACCTCGCAGCCTCTTCCCCTGCTTCACTTGGGCCTGAGCCTCCCTACGAGTCCCCTCTGACGCCTTCCTCTCACTGCAGTGGGTGAGGGCCAGGCCTGCTATCCGCTGTGCGCCCACGGGCACTGCTGGGGTCCGGGGCCCACCCAGTGCGTCAACTGCAGCCAGTTCCTTCGGGGCCAGGAGTGCGTGGAGGAGTGCCGAGTACTGCAGGGGTATGCGGGGCGGAGCAGGGGGAGGGCGGAGGGGTGCACGGGGGCTCCTTCCAGACCCCCTCACCCGCCATCCCCTCTCATAGGCTCCCCAGGGAGTACGTGAAGGACAGGTACTGCCTGCCTTGCCACCCCGAGTGCCAGCCCCAGAATGGCTCAGCGACCTGCTTAGGATCGGTGAGGTGCTGGTGGGCTCAGAGCTGGGTGGAGGGAAGCAACGGTGGGTTGGGGCAGATTGCCAGGGACCCGGCCAAGTCTGGTAAGACATCTGTGGAGAGAGCCCTGAGCTCAGACCTGAACAGCGGGATGGTGGAACAGCAGGAGGGTGGAAGGAGACTCCGTGCTGCGGACTGTCAGTTGTGTGATGGACCCTGAGACCCTCCAGACTGTGCAGAGATCCCAGGGAAGCCTGCGTTCTTTTAAAAATATTTTTATTGACTTCAGAGAGGAAGGGAAAGGGAGAGAGAGAAACATCAATGATGAGAGAGAATCATTCATCGGCCGCTTCCTGCACGTCCTGCACTGGGGATCGAGCCCACAACCCGGGCATGTGCCCTGACTGGCAATCGAACTATGACCTCCAGGTTCATAGGGTCGACGCTCAACCACTGAGCCACGCTGGCTGGGCGGAAGCCTGTGTTTTGGCTGTGACTGTGCCAAGGCGGTTGGATAGACTTGTGGGCTTAGGCATCAGACTGCCTGGATTCAAGTGCAGGGCCTACTTCAACCTCATATGTAAACGAGTGTCACATGGTGCCTGTTTCCTTGGGGGACAGGAGAAACTGACGTAACGTAGGGTTTGCACCGGCCTGAGCACGGGAAAGGCTTTCTGCCTGTTCGTGACTATTACTACTTGCTGTTAGACCTTAGCAATGAGCTCCCTCCCTTGGCTTCCAGTTCTTCATCTGAAGCCCGCAGCTCAGGGATCAAGCTTTGAAGCGGGGGTGGGGAGTGAGGTGACGAGGGAGGTGAGGGCGGGCGGGCCTGGATGAAGAGCAGGGGCAGTAGACACAGCAGGTGTAGGCTGTCCCAGGAGCAGCGTGAAAAGTGCTGCTGAGTGGCTGTCGGAGGCTCGAAGGGGACGCAGGCGCCTCACCCTACACCCAGCCCCTCACAGACCTTCCTGCCTTCCCAGGAGGCCGACCAGTGTGTGGCCTGCGCCCACTACAAGGACTCTCCCTTCTGTGTGGCCCGGTGCCCCAGTGGCGTGAAGACTGACCTCTCCTTCATGCCCGTCTGGAAGTTCCCCGACGAGGAGGGCACGTGCCAGCCATGCCCCATCAACTGCACCCACTCGTGAGTCTGGGGCCCTTTTCTGCAAAAGGGCGGGCTTTGTCCCAGGAGCCTCTGCGGCATTACAAAAGGGGACGACGCTGCTCTGCTAAAATCTGAGACTTAATTTTCACCTCCTTTTTGTCTGATCCCAAAAGTAACAGGTTAACATTTTTTATTAAAACATAAAATATAAACTGGTGTTGCTAGCAGTTCTGTCCCCACTGTTTATCAGTTATAGTGTTTTGCCCTAGTTTTTATCTGTGCACACGCTTACATATATATTATTCTAACATGTTATACTCTCTAGTTGTTTTTATCTGTGCATTCTAACGTATAATATTACATGTTACATATATGTATGTATATTACTGTTCTCCAGTTGTTTTTTTCTGTATTCTAACTTATTTTTATAAAAAAATTTTAAATATATTTTTATTGATTTCAGAGAAGAAGGGAGAGGGGAGAGAGAAGTAGAAACACCAATGATGAGAGAGAATCATTGATTGGCTGCCTCCTGCATCAACCCGAGCATGTGCCCTTGAGTAGAATCGAACCCAGGATCCTTCAGTCCCCAGGCCGAGGCTCTATCCACTGAGCCAAACCAGCTAGGCAGTGGTTCTCAACCTTCCTAATGCCGCGACCCTTTAATACAGTTCCTCATGTTGTGGTGACCCCCAATTTCATTGTTGCAAATTGAACATAATTAAAGCATAGTGATTAATCACAAAAACAATATGTAATTATATATGTGTTTTCCCATGGTCTTAGGCGACCCCTGTGAAAGGGTCGTTCGACCCCCAAAGGGGTCGCGACCCACAGGTTGAGAACCGGTGAGCTAGGGCCTTTTTTTCCCCCCCACCAAAACCATACATCATGCATATTGTTTGCAAATGGCTTTTTTTCTTTAAAATATATTTTACTGATTTTTTACAGAGAGGAAGGGAGAGGGATAGAGAGCTAGAAACATCGATGAGCGAGAAACATCGATCAGCTGCCTCCTGCACACCCCCTACTGGGCATGTGCCACAACCAAGGTACATGCCCTTGACCGGAATCGAACCTGGGACCCTTCAGTCCGCAGGCCGACGCTTCATCCCATGAGCCAAACCGGCTAAGGCACAAATGGCTTTTTTTCACTTGACAGGATCTTGCAGTGTTTTTTCATTTTCTAACATGGTGATCTACCCTATTCTTTTTTTTTTCCCCCAAAGTTGTCTTTAATTACACATGAAATACGTGGATGCATCCTTCTGACAAACATTTTCAGCAATTCAGAAGTATAAACACTGCAAAGCGCACCTGCCCTTTCGATCCCTGCCCCTGCTCCCCCCTCCCTGGGGAGAACCTCCGGATTCACTGGGGTGTGTGCCTCCTGCAGGCTTCCCTCCGCACATTCACATAAACATGCTGGGCTGCGTCATAGAAGATTGCTGTTGTTATAGGTCAGAAATGCCCAGGAAACGGCAATTTCAACTCACATGTAACCAGTGTGGGTTTGTGTGTGTGCCCTTTTCATTGTGAAGGGACTCAGACTTGGGATACTGTTCTGCACTTTGACCCCCACCCCCACCCCCACTTCGTGTGCCCTGGAAGGCCTTTCTTGTGAGTGCGCATGGATCCACCTCCTCCTTTTGTGAACTGCTCAAGCGATCGCGTGGATGTGGTATTATTTAACCATGTCCCTGTTTGGGGGATATTGATTAGGCTTCTTTATTTTTAAATTTTTATTTATTGATTGTTTTTTAGAGAGAGAGAGGAAGGGAGAGAGAGAGAGAAACATCGATGTTGTTGCTCCACTGAGTTACGCATGCACTGGTTGCTTCCTGCATGTGCCCCGATGGGAATAAAACCTACAACCTTGGTGTCTCGGGAGACACTCTGAACAACCGAGCTACCCGGCCAGGGCCTTTTATTTTCATTTTTTGGAAGTTTATTGCACGGGAGCTCCTTGTACAAGTGAACATCTTTAGGGCACACCCTGAGAGGGGGGCTGCTGCGTCACAGACGTTCCTGCACAGGTGCCGCCAACTGTCCTGCAGAAGTGGGGCCGGGGCCGGTTCGCTGCCCTGGCCTTCTTTCAGGGAGGGGATGGCTGGGCTTTGGGACTCGGTGCTCCTTTGGGGGCCCCCACAGGACACACCGCAGGGAGGTGCAGGAGGACGGGGGTAGGGGGGCTCCCCGGCTGGACGGGACTCCCTTGTGGGGTGGTAGGAAGATCACTGATGACCTTGAGCCCAGTTTCTGCCTTTGCCCAATGGGGATAACCAGGCAGCCACACCTCCCTCCGGGGTTGCTGGGCGGCCGGAGGGAGCCCAGGAGGTGGTGCCCAGCTTGTTGACAGGCCGCTCTCTCCTGCAGCTGCGTGGACCTGGATGAGAAGGGCTGCCCCGCCGAGCAGAGAGCCAGGTCAGCGTGGTCCCCAGGACATGCCCCTGGCTGCTCCCCCGTCTCCCACCGGCCCCTGGGTGGTCACTGCTGAACAAAGGAGAGGGGGGGCGCCTCCTGACATGACACAGGTCCCTTTCCTGCCCACTCTTCCACTGTGGGTCCTCCTTCCAATTCGTTTCAACAAGTGGCTGGAGGACCTGCTCAGGATGCTTGTGGCCTGGGGAACAGGAAAAGATGGCACAGGTTCCCAGTACCTCCCACCCTCGAGTAGCTAGACGTCTCGTAAGGGACCCTGGGACTCCAGGCAGATGGAGAAGAGGGTGCAGCTGCAGCCCTGAGGGAGAGGAGGGGGTGGAGGCAGGCTTCAAGGAGGAGGTGGCATTTGAGCCAGGCCTTGAAAGAGGGGCAGGTACGTCACTTGCCTTAGGGGGAAAGCAGCTTAAGTGGCTTCCTGGGGAAGGGTCGGAAAAACCTAGGCTGTGCTTCCTGGAAGGTGCTGGCGTGGTGCTCTGTTAGTCAGCACAGAGGAGGGATGCAGGGTGAGTCTGAGTCAGGCTCAGGCTGGATCTGGAGGGCATGGGCCTCCCTCACCAGCAGGCCACAGGGTTGGACTGGGCTTCTGGGCAGTGGGGGGCTGGGGGAAGGGCTTTGGGGAGAAAAAGATTGGTGTATGTCCTAGGCAATCATTTGTCTAGGAAGCAAGCGTTCACTAGAGTCTGCAATGCGCCAGCCCCTGGCTAAGCAGGGGAGGGGCAAGGAGGACAGTCAATGCCCAGGAGTGCCAGCGATTCCAGGCCGAGTCTGAAGGGTGATCCCACAGAGAAGGGGTGGTCCGGGCAGAAGTAGCAGCATGTGCAGAGGTTGGGAGGCGTGGAAAACCATGACCTATGGGTGAAAAGTTTGGCTAGAACATCAGAATCACTGGGTGCACATTCCTGGGCCCCACCCCATTCCCACAGCCAGACTCTCTGGGGGTGGGGCTCCAGACCTGTGCATTTTAACCAGCTCCTTGGTGGTTTTTGTCAGGAAGTTTGAGAATCCTGGGCTAAGCCAGGGGTAAGAGCATAGACAATGTGGGGATGTGGGTGGTGAGAGCTTTGAATACCCAGCAAGGAGTTTGGACTTGATCCTGGAGGCAGTAGGGAGCCAAGGGAGGTTTTAAAACAGGGAAGAGAGGGTAGAAGTCTGTGGGTCACCCCTCCAAAGTCCCTTTCCAAACACCAGTGACCTTCCTGCGCCTCCATGGGGCCGCTCAGCCCTGCTCCCCAAGACTGCTCCCCAATCCCTGACCTTGGCCCCTGTCTGCAGCCCTGTGACGTCCATCATTGCTGCTGTGGTGGGCATTCTGCTGGTCATGGTCGTGGGGGCAGTCCTCGGCATCCTAATCAGGAGAAGGCGGCAGAAGATCCGGAAGTACACGATGCGGAGGCTGCTGCAGGAAACGGAGGTGAGGGCCTCCCTACCTGCTTGGGGTCTGCGGCCCAGCCCCCCAGGCACTGACGCAGGCTCACCCTCTCTCCACAGCTGGTGGAGCCGCTGACGCCTAGCGGGGCGATGCCCAACCAGGCTCAGATGCGGATCCTCAAAGAGACCGAGCTGAGGAAGGTGAAGGTGCTCGGATCCGGAGCTTTTGGCACCGTCTACAAGGTCAGGGGTGGGGCCAAAGTTGGGGTGGGCGGTCCCAGAGGGTGCACTGGGGTGTGACCAAGGGTTCTGTGGGGGAAGGCGGCCCTGAGCTGGGGGCGGTGATGTTTGGTAGGGCAGTTATAGAGGCTAGAACGGGGGAAAGGGATGGGTGAGTGGGGCTAGATAATGAGGCTGTTGGTAAATTGTGAGGTTGGCCCAGGGGTGGGGAAACACAGGAATGACCTTCTTGGGCCGGCCGTTTCCTGCTCACGTTCCCCGCTCTCTGCCCAGGGCATCTGGATCCCCGATGGGGAGAATGTGAAGATCCCAGTGGCCATCAAAGTGTTGAGGGAAAACACATCTCCCAAAGCCAACAAAGAAATCTTGGATGTAAGTCCCTCCACCCTCCCCAGCCGGGAGCACGGGAGGGCCCCTGGTTGCAGGGCTGGCTCTGAGCTCCCTCTCCCCTGGGATTTAAGGAGACACCTGTGTTATCCCCAAACCTGGACTCTTCACCTCCCCATCCTGTGGGCTGTGGTTCTGGTTGGTGTCAGATGGGGTCGGGTCCAGTGGGGGTCCTCAGTCACACCTTGACCCTCAGGAGGGGCGGGTGGTGGTTGGGGTTCGTGGTCTCCCACACCCCGTGTGCTCCCTTGCCCCCAGGAAGCATATGTGATGGCCGGTGTGGGCTCCCCGTATGTGTCGCGCCTCCTGGGCATCTGCTTGACCTCCACGGTGCAGCTGGTGACACAGCTCATGCCCTATGGCTGCCTCCTGGACCACGTCCGCGAACACCGCGGGCGCCTGGGCTCCCAGGACCTGCTGAACTGGTGTGTGCAAATTGCCAAGGTACGCACCCAGGGGTCTGGGCGCCATGAGTGCCCCTGAGAGCAAGCCTGCCCCCACGCAGGGTGGGGATGGGGAGGTTTCCTGGGGGAGTGTGACTAGAGCCTGATTCACAAGGATGCCTCCAATCCCAGGGAATGAGCTACTTGGAGGACGTGCGGCTTGTGCACAGGGACCTGGCTGCCCGGAACGTACTGGTCAAGAGTCCCAACCACGTCAAGATCACAGACTTTGGGCTGGCTCGGCTGCTGGACATCGACGAGACGGAGTACCATGCAGATGGGGGCAAGGTGGAGTGGGGTCTGGGCCCTGGGAGCACTCTGAGAACCCCCCCCACCCCCAACACACCTAGTTCAAGGACTTCTCTTCCCTCTCAGGTGCCCATCAAGTGGATGGCGCTGGAGTCCATTCTCCGCCGACGGTTCACCCACCAGAGTGATGTGTGGAGCTACGGTGCGTGGGGGGCAGCACTGGGTGGGGTGGGCGAGGAGCCATGGTCCTGTCCATGGTGGGATGTTGGTGAAAGGATGAGAATGAACGGAGACACCTCAGCATAAATGTGGGTTGGAAGGGAGGACCGCAGTGCTTCAACCTGCTAGGGTCTGTGCATGTCCCAGGGGTTGGGGAAGGACTAGAGGTAGCTCCTGCCCTCTGGCAACCCATCCCTCCCCTCCTTCCCCCACGGTGCCAGGCTCCTGGACAGAGCCTCTGGGACGCAGACGCTAAAGCTCCTCCTGTTGCCCGTCTCAACCCTGTCTCTGCCCTAGGTGTGACTGTGTGGGAGCTGATGACTTTTGGGGCCAAACCTTACGATGGGATCCCAGCCCGGGAGATCCCTGACCTGCTGGAGAAGGGGGAACGGCTGCCCCAGCCGCCCATCTGCACCATCGATGTCTACATGATCATGGTCAAATGTGCGTGGTGGAGCTGTGCTGGCTGCTTGGAGGCGGGGTGGGAGGTTCTGGGTGGAGGGTCTACAGGGAACATGGAAGGGGGCCAGGCCAGAATGCATGTGACCCAGAGGCCCCGCATGGTACCAGGAACCTCCACAGGGTCTCGCTTCCCTTTCACATACCAGTCCAGGGACGCTCCAGGGGACCAGCTAGAAAGAGACTTAGATGCAAAATCAAAAGGGCAAACTTACCGAGATTCTCAAAGCTTCTGGTACCTCGTCTCTACACCTAAGAGCTTTGGACTGGAATCACTACACAAGCTTGGAGAGGGGGGGGCGGGGCCACACACCAGCTGCCCCTGGGACTGAGATGCTGAGCCTCCTCCCGCCCCCAGGTTGGATGATTGACTCTGAATGCCGGCCCCGGTTCCGGGAGTTGGTGACCGAATTCTCCCGCATGGCCAGGGACCCCCAGCGCTTCGTGGTTATCCAGGTACCGGACCACCCACCACCTCCCTGGGTCCCAGGCCTCCCGTCCCGGCCCCTTGCCCGACTCCTCGTGCCTCCTGCACAGCACCTCCCTGAGCCTTCCCCGGGAGGCCGGGCCCTGGGCTGGGGAGAGGCTGCCACGCTGTCTCCCTCCTCCCCAGAACGAGGACTTGGGCCCCACCAGCCCCTTGGACAGCACCTTCTACCGCTCGCTGCTGGAGGATGACGACATGGGGGACCTGGTGGATGCCGAGGAGTACCTGGTGCCCCAGCAAGGCTTCTTCTGCCCAGACCCTGCCCCGGGGGCGGGGGGCACGGCCCACCGCAGGCATCGCAGCTCATCCACCAGGGTCAGTGCCCCGGGTCACACTCTGGTGGGTGTGGTTACCTCTCCTGACCCTAATGCACTAGGTCCCTTTCTTCGATGTCCCACCGCCTCATGGAGATCCCGTTTTCCCTAAGGATTCCTGCTGCCTTCCAACCCATGTCCCCACTCTCCCCATGGTGACCGTGCCATACCCCAAAGGGGACCTCTATTTCCTTCCTGTGACCCTGTAGAGTCTCCAGCTCAAATCTATGAATGACCCCACCATCATGACCTTCTCTCTTGTCCCCAGAGTGGCGGTGGTGAACTGACACTGGGGCTGGAGCCCCCTGAGGAGGAGCCCCCGAAATCTCCACTAGCGCCCTCCGAGGGGGCGGGCTCTGATGTGTTTGAGAGCGACTTGGGAATGGGGGCGGCCAAGGGGCTGCAGAGCCTCTCCCCACATGACCCCAGCCCTCTACAGCGGTACAGTGAGGACCCCACAGTGCCCCTGCCCCCTGAGACTGATGGCTACGTTGCCCCTGCGACCTGCAGTCCCCAGCCAGGTATGGAATCCAGGCCTGAGCTGAGATTGGGAGGTGGGGGAGGTGGGTGCCCACTGTGGGGGCTGTGTTAGTAGCTGGGACACATGGGTTTCTTTCCCTAACAAGCCCCCTCTCTTCCCCTTTCAGAATACGTGAACCAGCCAGAGGTCCGCCCGAAGCCCCCCTCACCCCTAGAGGGCCCCCTGCCGCCTCCTCGATCTGCCAGTGCCACTCTGGAAAAGCCCAAGACTCTCTCCCCCAAGACTCTGTCCCCTGGGAAGAACGGGGTTGTCAAAGACGTTTTTGCCTTTGGGGGTGCCGTGGAGAACCCTGAGTACTTGGCGCCCCGCGGCAGGGCTGCCCCTCAGCCCCACCCTCCTCCCGCCTTCAGTCCAGCCTTTGACAACCTCTATTACTGGGACCAGGACCCATCCGAGCGTGGCTCTCTGCCCAGCACCTTTGAAGGGACCCCTACAGCAGAGAACCCCGAGTACCTGGGCCTGGATGCGCCAGTGTGAGCCAAAAGGCCAAGTCTGCTTAGGCCCTGCTGAACCCGCGGGGAGTGGGGAAGGCCTGACTTCCGGCCTGTGTCAGGACCCTGTGTCAGGACAACGTGGGGAAGGGCCCTTGGACCAGATCAGTGGAGCCCGCCATGCCAGGCACCTTCTTTCCTCTTCCAGTTCCCAGGTGGCTCAGAGGAGCTCAGCCTGGTTGGAAGAGAAGGCAGCGTCCGGAAGGAGTCCGGTCCCAGCAGACTCTAGGGTCCAATGGATGCCACAGCCACAGTCTCCTCATCTGAGGGGGCAGCCCAGCCTGGCTCTCTCCTTCCACATCCCCGGCACTGAAGGACTTCGGGGAGCTGGGCCCAGGAGGGGAAGAGGCCCCAAAGAAGTGTCGAGGGCAAGAACAGTCCACTCAGAGCCTGTCTCTGAGCCCTAGCGCTGCCCCCAGGGAGAAGGGACAGCAGCAGTGCCCAGGTCTAGTCCTTGTACAGAGTGCTTCCTTTGATTTGTTTTTACTTACGTATTTTTTTTGTGTTTTGTTTTTTTAAAAAAAAAGATAAAATAAGGACTCGGGGAGAGTGGGTGTTGTGGAAGGGGGAGTGGTCCCTGGGGTTGGGGATGTCCCTTTCTCCACACCCACTTTCTCCATCTGCAAATACATTTTGGAAAACAGCTGGGCACCAGCCTATGCCTGGGGGTAGTTCTGTGCCTTCCCGTATCGCTTGCTGCCTAACATACACTCAACTCATCTTTTCCTGGAGGGAGCGACTAGTCATCTTTAAGAAGCCTGAATGAGAAGCCTATCTTCCAAAGTCCTGGCTTCTGGGTTGAGGGGGATCTGGGAGTTGAGGATACTGATCTGAGAGCCCTTTGCCAACCAAATCATTCTTGCTTAGAAAAAAACAAATCCCTCAGGCCACCCACCGCACCCACCATAATGAGACGCGGGGCGTGGGGGGGGGGTGCGGGGAAGAGGCAGTGTCTACTGGGTCACTCCTTTTCCTTATTGGCTATGAGAAGAGATCACTGAACCAGAAGTCGCTCTCCAGAAAAAGCCCGCCCACCCGGCACAGCCACCCGGCTCCTCCCCCACACTCCCAGGCTGGACATAACACACACCAGTTGGCACAAGTGTTTGTAGTGCCAGTTTATTGCCAATAGCTGACAATGCCCGGGGCCAGTAGAAAATAAATTAGAACGACAGTGGCCTCTAACAGGTGCAGCGAGGCTGGAGCGGGGAGCAAGCTTTTGTGGACACTGATCCCCGGAAGGGGTACAAGGTGGCTGTGATAATATCAGTGGAGAGGCTCCCGGACGGACGCTCCAGACCAACAGAAGTTTCTATTCCCTCCTGGTACCCAAAGGGGCAAAGTGGAGGCC